CTCAGACTTCCAGCCTCCAGAACTGGGAGAAAGTTGATTTCTGTGGTTTAAACCACCCGTGTCTACGGTGTTTGTTGTGGCAGCCCAAGCTGACTAAGACATGGATGCACCACAGCTTGTTTTTCATTCACCTGTTGGTGGACATTCTGGTTGTTCCCATTTTTGGTTGTTACAATTGGCTATGAACAATTGTGTACAAGTCTTTGTGTGGACACACACTTTCATTTTTGTTGGGTAAATATCTAGGAGTGAACTGGCAGGGTTATATGGTAGGCATATGTTTTACTTTTTAAGAAACTGCCAAACTGTTTCCTGGGACCATTGTACCATTTTATATTCCCACCAGCAGCAGCATATGACAGTTCCATTTCCTCCACATTAGTTTGTTTTTTTGAGACAGGGCCTCACTCTGTTGCCCAGGCTAGAGTGGCATGGTATCAACATAGCTCACTGCAACCTCCAACTCCTGAGCTGAAACCATCCTCCTGCCTCAGCCTCCTGAGTTGCTGGGACTGCAGGTGCGTGCCACCATGCCCGGCTATCCACATCAGCCTTGAGACCTGAATTCTGAATTGCTCTTACTTAGGTGTCCCACCCAGAGGCTCACGGCTTGCTGTGATGTGTACAGGCGAGCCATGAGCAGGCATACTCTGTATGTTCTCAAATGAGACGTTTTATGCCTATGTTAATTTACTTTGCATGAAAATTTAGAATGGCAGTATCTTTCTCTCTTTTACATGTCCTTCTTTCATTGCTTTTCCTAGTTTTTTAACTTGCGGACTTTCTGGGTAGAGCCCAGAGTTTCTTGGCTATGAGGTATTAAAAAGGAGCCTGGATTTTAGAATTAGACACACCTGGATTTGAATTCGGGCTTTGTAACTTAGCCGTGTGACAAGTCATGTGACCTGAGCCTAAGTTTCCTCTTTTTTTATTTTTTTATTTTTATTTTACTTTTTTTTGAGACATGATCTCACTATGTTGCCCAGGCTGGAGTGCAGTAGCTATTCACAGCCATGATTGTGGCATACTACAGCCTCGAACTCTTGGGCTCAAGCAATTGTCCTGCCTCAGCCTCCTGAGAGGCTGGGACTATAGGCATGTGCCACGGTGCCCGGCTCCTTGTCTGTCTTTAAAAAGTGTGTATAGAGAGATTGATATTACCCAGCTTGCACGATTGTTGTAAAGCTTAAATATTATACATTGAAAACATCTTCATCAAACATTTGTGATAATGGATTAATATCCCAAGACACATTTGTAATTATAAGTTCCATTTTCTATTTGACAGGGTTGACCTACTGCTACCCACTAAGTGACTAGGAGAGGAACTGAAGTTTTAATGGGTGTCACCAGTTAGAGGGAGGTGACAGATAATATGGCAAAAATTAATGCAGTGATGTTGCCAGGGCTCAGGGTGACCTTACAGTGTTTAACAATGTTTGTGCAGGTTTGGCCTTTTGTGCTTTAACGGGGCTGTATCTCATGTGCATCTTTATGTACTTCCAGCAAGGCAGTTCCTGCCTGAATGTGATTCCTCCATGCAGGCTATTTGGGAATCCCCAGCCTCCTTAGGGGCTTAGTCTGTTTTTAGGGAGGAGAACAGGAACACACCAAGGGAGATGTTTCTCAGGCTTCTGGGATCCTAGCCCGTGTATGCTGCCTGCCTTTTTCAGTGCTTGGGCCTCAGTATTTGAGACGGGTGGCAAGGATGCTGCCTTTTGGCCTGCGGAATCCTTTGTCCAGCTGGCCAAAGTGTGTTCAGAGTGCACGGGGCCTTCCCTCCCATGGACAAGTGGGGAGTTATTCTTTGATGGCTGGACCAGACTGCTTATCTGATGTCAATGGAGTTTGAAAGCTTGTCCTGAAGTGAGTAGTGAGACGATTGACTTTAGCACGATCAGGTAGGCTGGGGCTGGACCCACGGGGGAATGGTGGGTGTTGGTAGGCACAGGATTTGTTTTGCCAGGTGGGGGTGTCTTGAGGCCTTCTCTGCTCCGCCTGACTGCTGGGTTTCAAATACCCTGCAGCGTTTCTCCTTAGAGCCGGCTGGCTTTCTTGGCATCATTCAGTTTAGTTGCTAGGAAGCCGAATAAGGCAAATGCAACTTCCTTTTGACTTACTCACATTGAACCATCTGCTTATTCCTTCTCATGGCCTTCAAACTTGGCTAGGATCATTGGGAAGAGGGTCAAGTGGAGCATCTGTGCTCATCCTTTCTGGAAGTGGAATGCATTCTAATAACTCTTTAACCCTCTCAGTCCAAATTTATAATAGTGCATCCTGCTCAGCCCCTTGTTGCTTTCAGCTAACAATTTTGAGCAGGCATTTTCTTCTTAGGGTTCACCCTTTATTTTATCTTAGATTTAGATCTACATCAATCACACAGCTCTTAAATGAGGAGGATGGTGACATGTACCTCAAAATGTATTAGGCATGTGCATATATAAAACAGTGGTCTTACCCGAGGATGTTTAACACTTGGAATGGATGCACTTGAGGCATATAGGAATTTTCTTCTATAAGCTCCATTGTGGATTCAGTATCAGATACATTAAAGGTGGGAGAGAATCTCAAAAATTTATAGTGATATTGATGGAGCATCTATCAAAAAGAAGTTTTAAAGAAAATCAATTATTCTTATTTTTCTAATTCTCAGCTACTACCAGCATTGCATATTTATTTTTAGGTGCAGTTCAGTTGAGTTGGGCAAATCGGATGTGTCATGCTGAAGTGTCTTTCTCTTGGTGAGTGTATAATGAATGGTCTTTTCATGTGACAGACCTGTGCCTTCAATTGTCAACCCTGCAAAAGCACTTGAACAAACAAACTAGGCAAAAAGAGAAAATAGGTATTACAAAATAGAGTAGAGGTTCTGAAAAAAAATCTTGAGAAAAGCCATTGTTCGAGTTCTTAAAATCCAGTTTAACTGAAGATTTAATCACCTTTGAGTGTACCCGAACTGTGGAAACTAATGTTATGAACTATGGGAAATAATTTCTTCTTAAGTGTAATTTTGTCTTTGTTGGGTTTTATTTTATTTTATTTTGTTAGCAGCAAGCCATACAAACCTTTTCTGCCTACTTCTTATTCTCCCCACGAGGGCTACTTAAAGGAGGGTGAAGACATGCTAAGGCAAAACTCTATTGTTGTGGCTCCATTTGCTAAAAGCTTTAGTGGTAATTCAAATGCGTTCTTACTGTGCAGACTTAGGTGTTTCTTAAAATTGATGTCGTTAATATTTGCTTTTGGGACATCTCTCAGGTCAAGTTGATCATATTAAGCTATTCCGCTTTAATTTTTACCTTTCCATAGTCATTTAGATGCTAGTAACTAAAATACGCCTGCAAACTGCAGGGACTCAGCCCCCCAGCCCTTTCTTTGTGATGGTGTTCGGTTGGCTCTGGTGGGCTACCCACTTCAGGGTTATCTGTAGCAGACCCTCGAATCCCTTCTTCCGCGCCTCACACCTCCACACGGTTTTTTTGCTACCGTCTAACCATTGGAATATGCTAAAAAATGCAAATTTATTTTATTATGAGGCAAGTCAGTACTCAAACCACTTAAAAATGGTTTATTTTTTACCTAAGGAATGCATAGACATGTAAAAACATCTTATAATAAAAAGTGAAAATCTCTTTTCAGAACTCCTCTAATTTTTTTCCTTTGTTTTGAATTAAATGGTTTACACTGGCATATTATCCTGAAACTTGTTTTTTTCACTTAACGGCATAGAGTTAACATGGAGGATAATTCATCCTCTCTGTTTTGAACCACAGTGTGGTATTCCGGGGTATGTAAATCACTTTTGAAGGCTACTTTATTTCATTTACTCTTTTATATTCAGCAGTGGAGCTCTTCCAAGTAACTAAACAGGTAAATCAACATGGCAGTTCCACATTCTTGCTTTGGATCTTTCTCTGTAGTTTTGGTAAAATCAGTTTTCCTTGAACTGTATTTGAATTGATTTTTATATATATGAACCTTGACAGGGCCTCTCTCTTGCCTGCATTAAAGATGAGATTTGTGTCAGATTAGATTAATAATTCAAAATTGAAAAATGCTTTGCTCAACTGTGGAAGCACTTGGAAGTATAGAATTCAGGAGTGACTGTTAATGGAGGTTAGTTCTGTCAGGTAACGTTTCCTGAAAATGAGACCTAGAATGCCTGCCCTGCTACACGATCTTCTGAAGATTTTCTTAGCCCTGGTCTGAAAGAGACCTAAAGGCAGAGGTGGATAATGATGGCTCGCATCTACTGAGGGCCCGCTCTGCGTCAGGCACCATTCCAAGGGTGTCACCTGTGTGAATTCACTTAATCTCATAACAATTAGAGGGAGGTTCTATTAATAATCCTCGTTTTACAGGTGAGGAAACTGAGGCATGGCGATGTTAAGTAACTTTTTCAAGGTTACCCAGCTTGTAAGCGACAGAGCTGACACTGAAAGCCAGGCAGTTGGAATTTCAGGCGCCCGTCAGTTGCCTCCAGTTACCTGGGGGTGGAGGCGGGCAGTTTACCTGCCACTTCGTTAAACGCAAGCGTGTAAAGTTCGAGGGAAGGCCAGCAAGAACAAGACGCAGCAAGGGTTAGAGAGAGCAGGGAGCCTAAAGAACGGCCTCTAGAGCCAGTGGCCAGTGCTGGTGGGAGACTGCGGGCAGGGAGCGGCCTGCGCGCGGGGACTCCGGGCGGCGCGGGCTCGGGGCGGCGCGGGCTGTGTGTGGCGCGGGCTCCGGGCGGCGCGGGCTGTGTGCGGAACGGGCTCCGGGCGGCGCGGCCTCTGTGTGGCGCGGGCTCCGGGCGGCGCGGGCTCTGTGCGGTGCGGCCTCTGTGTGGCGCGGGCTCCGGGCGGCGCGGCCTCTGTGTGGCGCGGGCTCCGGGCGGCGCGGGCTCTGTGTGGCGCGGGCTCCGGGCGGCGCGGGCTCTGTGTGGCGCGGGCTCCGGGCGGCGCGGGCTCTGGGCGGCGCGGCCTCTGTGTGGCGCGGGCTCCGGGCGGCTTCGCGCGTCGGTCTGTCAGGAGTCTGTATGTGAACACCCCGAGTAAAGTCACAGAGGGGAGGCGAAGGGACTGGTGCGTGTTGGCAGCCTGCTGAGTGTCACGGTTTGGCGGGTGGTTCGGTGGCCGCAGCGCCCCGCGAGAAAACAGCTCCTCGCCGCGCCCTCCCTGCCGAGTTCCTTGCGACAGAAACACTGTGTGGATGCTGGGGCGCGGCGGCAAAACGCCTCATTTAGGGTACAGAGTGCATCTAACCCCCCTTTCTTCTGTTAAGTCGCAGCAAAGGGGACTGCTTTGGACGGCTATTCCCCAGCGTCTGTGAGCTGCCTGCATGTGTTGAGCAAGGGGAAATAGCTCGCTCGCAGGCGCTGTGGGGTGTTTAGCAGTAAAGGGAGCAGTTGTTGATTAATTTTTTACTCATATATAATGAAGACCTGCAGAGATGAACATCTCTGATAAAATTATCTCAGATCCTTTAACGCCCAAAGTATGAATTTATACGTCTGTCTGTCTATCTGATTTATGAGTCTTACTTGACAAGGATCAGTGGCTCCGAGTAGTACTTTCGTCACAGCAAGAGGAAATGAGTGGGAGAGGGCAGAAAATTCTAGAAATTCATAATTCTAAAATGAGAAATTTAGTGTCATCTCACCTCTAAGAAGACATAGCCTGAAGTGACTATAGATTGTGCCAGATGATCTGGTATTTGTCTTTTGGTTTTGGGGGGATACTTAAAGGGGGGAAATATCTATACAGTATTTGAAAAAATATTTTCATGCATACAACAGCATTGAAGAATTATAGGGGAATGTGGCTTATTATTCAAAAGAGAATGAAAATAATCATGATAGACACCAGTATTCTCCATTAGGTAAGGGTCCTGTCAAAATTCGAAGTATAGTTTCTTGTTTTTGTGGCCGTGTTGTCGTTCATTTACCCTTTTGTTAGGAGATCCTGAAAAGATTTGTTTTTGGCCATGCAAAAGCACGAATGCATCAATGTTTTTCAGATGTTGCCAGTGCCAGGGACACTCGGAGAGAGGAGCTTTTCCAGCACTTTTATCGAGTGGTTCAGAAAGAGCCGGATTGAGTGAGGCCTTCAGATTGCATTATTATTTCTATCGACAAAGAGCAGAGGTAGCTTTATTGCTTTTTAGTGTGTTAATGAGATTGTGTACAAACTGAATAATTAAGTATCCAACCTTGAGTACATGAGGCATGAGAGTTGGGACTCCTGAAATGCTCTATTAGAACACTGCTTTAGGAATTGCCAGAATGATGCCATTGGGTTGACCAAACTAGTGGGGACATTTCTAAAGATTACTGTCTTATTCAGCTTTTCTGCATTACTTGAGTACTTTACAATAATTATCTGTCAATTTTTAATCAGAAAAGAACCAAAACTATTTGGTGGGGTAGGGAGTACGTACCACCTGCCAGGTACTAGTCTAGGCTCTGGGGCTACTTTAGTGCCCGAGGCAGACAAAACCCTGCCCCCAGGGCGCTGATGGTCTAGTGTACTATGTATGCCATGAAGTTGGCTTCATTGAACTTTCAAAGAAGGGCTCCCCTCCTTTCTTAACTACTTCTTGAATTCCTCCCAGCCTTTATCCATGCTGTTTCTTCTTCCGTCTGGCATGCCTGTTCCCTCTTCTCCACCTGCCTAACTCATGTGAGCCACTCAGGCTGAGTGGCAGCCTGGTCCTCGGGGAGTCCTTCCTCACTGCGCCTGCCCTCTGGGCTGTGTCCAGCTCTCCATCAGGCCGGCGTGGTGCCCTGATGTCAGGCACCACTAGCTAACATTTGCCCTGCTGTTAGCATTGCGAGTTTGCTTCTGTCCTCTATGTTGAGGGCAGACAGGAACTTAATATGTGATGATAACTGCATCTCTGGATTATGTCAGGTTTCATAGGACTTGGCAGAGAGCCTGGCATGTAGATGAACAGGTGGTTGGAGGGATGCACACTGAGTTCGAGCTAGGTAGGTACTCACTGAGTGATACTGATGACCCAGTATAGGGGACAAGGCACACACAAACACAAAACACAGCTCTGCATTAAGGCAGCATTGGCCCTTCTCACTTTTTTATATGAAAATCTGCAAACTCAGAATTTTTATTGATATCGCCTTTACAGAGATCTACTTTATTTGTAGATACCATCTTTTCTCTAAGAGTTTTTGCAAGCAAAATTATAGCTCCATCTCATTTGAAGGGTATTTGGGTTGGACCTTGGGAGACTGTACTAGAAGAAATGAGGTCAGTCACAGCATGGGAGGATAGGAGAGGACACTTCCTTTTACATTAGAAAATGATGGAATTTCCCTTTAATAATTGAAAGACAACCAGACATGCCCTGGATTAATTTTCTCATGTAGTAATTTAAACCAATTTTGAACCTAGAGGCAGTAAGGACTCAGCATGCATAGTAGCTTTGTTCCCGTTAGCATTTAGCGACTTTGGTACCATACCCTGTGTCAGCTAGGGTCACTGCATCAATGTTTGACTGGATTAGCTTTCTCAAAACCTGTAGCAAGCATCATATCTGACTTGGAGCATCTTGTGATTCTTTTAGAATTGTCACTGATTCCAGTGGCCCTTGGACTTGCATAACCCTGGTATTCTTGCCACTTTCCCATCTCTGGAGTCAGGCCGGCTGGTGTTAATTTGAGGCAGTCTTTTGTAGTGAAGAGGGGTACTGGAGGCTGCATTTCTTCTCCCCCTCCATCTGGGGTGGCTTTCAAACCCCTGTTTAGATGTCCCCCAGCCTCTGCCTGGCGTCCCGCAGTTCTGGCAGTTAGCCATGGATCAAGATAGTTGGGTGGATACGGCTTAGGAATCTTCTGCCGCTGGGTAGTCCGCAGCTGCCGGCGCCTCTGAACTAGAGCACACTGCTCGCTCTGTCGTCACTTTGATGTCAGGTAGATTTGTAGTGATAAATTAGCTGGCTAATTCGTTCCTTTATACTCCAAAACAGTAATTAATTCTCCAATCACGTCATCCAATGTGAATTATTTTTGTGATACTTTTGAATCATAGGCTGTCACTCTGTAAATATGGATCATGTCTTGTTTTTCTTGTTTTCCTCTTGAATTTATTTTCTGAAACCATCCATATTTTCCTAAATTGACAGAACACATTTTTCATGTCATCGTAGTAATTTTTTTTAAGAGATGGGATCTTACTCTGTCACCTAGGCTGTAGTGCAGTGGCATCACCATAGCTCACTGTAACCTTGAACCCTGGGCTCAAGTGATCCCTCATCTTAGCCTCCTGAGTAACTGGGACTATAGGCATGCACCACCATACCCAGCTAATTTAAAAAAATTATTTTTTTGTAGAGACAGGGTCTCACTACATTGCCCAGGCTGGTCTCAAACTCCCAGTCTCAAGCAATCTTCCTGCCCCAGCCTCTTCCAGTGCTAGGATTACAGGTGTGAGCCACCACATGCAGGCCATCATAGTAATTTTTAATTCACAAAATATACATTTAATGTGCATCTGTTATAAGTAAAGCTCTGTGCTGGCACAATAAGGAACATAAAGATAATTAGGTAACAATTCCTATTATAGAATATGTAGTCTAATAAGATAAAATAAGATAAGATAAACAGAGTATACAAATGAAGGAAAGTGGATTACCATTCTTCATGGTCTGAGGAGATTTCAGGGAATAATATCATTTGAGTTGGGCCTTTGAGCTGAGGGCTGGAAAGTGTCCAACAAACTGACTCAGGGGCATGTAGGGGGAGAACAGCTGGAAGAAAAGTAGAAATGTGTGGGGAGAGTTTATTGTCCAAGGATCACAAGAAATTACATTTGGGAAGAGGATAGGATATTTGAAGCTCAGTGGGCTACAGAGGCTGTTAAGATAGGTTGACACTGTGTCTTGCCAGGACTCTGAATGCTGGGGTAAGGAGTTTAGGAAGCTGAGCAGTTACTGGGCCATTTTTTAAAGTAATACTTTTAACAAGATTACTTAGCAGCTGGCGTCTAGGATGGATTGGAGTGGGAAAAGTAATTGCAGATAGAATATGTGGTAGCAGCTTTTGCAGGTTTCTAAGCAAGTGTTAGGCAGGATGGAAGGCTAAACTCAATGGAGAGATCTAGGAAAAATTCCCTGGGACTTGAAGACAGGGGCTGAGGAATTAGAAATGAGATGACTTTGGGTTTTGATCCAAGATCAGTTACAGCATGGTTGCTGTTGGCTGAGATGGCTAACTCCATGTCATCCCTTCACTCGTTAGCAGCTTTTGACAGTGATGACCACAAGCGTGGGTGTGTCTCAGGAACTAACTGGAGATGAGCACTCTCTCATGTCTTTGAATATAATAGTCTCATCTATTCTTTAAATCTTTAATTTTCTTTTGTAGTCTTTTGATTTGAAATGTCAAAGTCATTTGAAATGACTTTATCAAATAGCACTTGAAAGCTTACATTTTGAAAAAGGACATTCATGGTGCTTACCCAGTGTAACATATTAAGCAAAAACACATCCTTTGCTTTCTCTATAAAATTATATACATAGTCAACCATATGAGGACATGGCATTCAAAAAAATAAGTTTCCTTTTTGTCAGAATTGCCTCTGGTTTTTTAACTGATTCCACTAGACAGATTGCACAGCCTTAAATGTTTTAAGTGTGTCCAAAAGTGAAAACAAGTTGTGGGATATGCATGACTTTAACAGGAAATATAGCATCTTACCTAGATATCTTCCTAAAAATGTAGCATCTTAGCCCTCCCTTACTTAAATTTGTGGTATATCAAAGCATTTACATAACAATTGCATGGTGACATAGATTCTTGTGTTGATTGAAAGTAACCTGCCTTGTGCGCGTGTGTGTGTGTGTGTGTGTGTGTGTGTGTGTATGTTTTAAGGGAATATATGACAGTCATAGGTCACCCCTTGCAGGACTATGGCCTTGTGGTGGGAGCACTCCACCTTGCCTCTACATCGGCTCTCACTTGCACACTCCGGAAAGTGAAGGATGATGGTTCTCTATTTTGCATTCTTGTCAAACAATCTAATGTAAATTTTTTTTCTTGCACTGTAATGATGCTTCATGAGTCTATCAAAAATACGTTTAGATTGATCGAGCACTATCACTTAAAATATGTCATGCTTTAAAAATGTAATGTCTTTTCTTTGTACACTGGGAAACTTTGATGGTTTACGTTGATTAGTAGCTAAATTGAATCTAGTTGAGGAACAAAAGATTTGAACAGGTGTCACAAAATACTCTCCTGTGTATTACTGGTGATTGAAACTTAAGTCATCTTTATTGCTTCTTAAGAATCCAAAGCATCTTATCCAAAATATTATGTAACTGATTCAGTTCTCTTATATAGAACTTTTGACCAAATCTCACCACTAGCTTTTCTATCCTGAGTGATCTCCACATTATCTTAGACTCTCTTTATTACCAACTTTGCCTTTTCTGTGATATCTCATTCATTTCATTGTTCTTAGGCTCATGAGAATGCAGAAAAATTAGCTCCCTTTTCCTCCCTAGAATAGATAGACTTAGGAAGATGCACACATCCTAGACCAACCTTCTTCTCTCTCCTGGTCTGATCTGCTTCCATCTTGTCCTAGCCCCATCCCCTGCCCTGGACACTAGATGGACACTGGGAATGGTATTCTTCCCTGTGCAGGCACTTAGACTGGTGTCCCTCTCCCCGTGAAGAGGGGAGAGGACTGCCTTGTGGAGGGTCACCTTTATAGCTCCCTTACAGTCATACCCAGACAAGCATGGGTTTCCCAGTCGCCTCTGGTTTGCAGAAGCTCCTGGTACTGTGCTACTCAGTCCAGACATACTGAGTGCCTTCTGTATGCCAGGCACTGTGCAAAATGTCAGGCCAACCCTGCTTCCTTTCTCTGCCCAGGTCAGACATGCTTCTCCAACAGTCCCTGGGTTATCCATCCCAGGCCATGTATTCTTAGCAGCGCTGGATTGTCATCGATAAGGTGGGAGTCTTTTCCCTGAAGCATAGGGAGAGATTTATCTATAGCTTGTTAGGGCCTGCAGAGAAGTGAATATAAGATTAGTGTTCTTCACACATATCACACATCCCAGCCATAATATTGGGTCTAAAAAGAGAAAAGTGAAGACCACTTGCTTCCCTTCATCTCAGGGATGCCAGGACATCTTTTATTGTGATTGTTCCATTTACTTTGCTTGTACAGGGACACTCAAACCCAGCAGGCCAGCTCTTGCTCAGTACTGTGTTCAAGAATGTGAAATTATGGTGTTTCTAAGCTAATAAATGGCTAATTTATAAATCTAACCCACATTTTTGTCATACATAAGTTCTGAAAATGCAAAAGAACACATACTTTCAGTAAATATATTACAAACCCCAATCTCCTGGGGTGGGAATGGGGAACAGTTTAATTTGAACTGATTGTGAAAAGGACTAATTACATCTCATTACTTAAGTGTTTACATTCATGCAAGGTAGTTTAGGAAATTATCACTAAAATAAATGGGTTGAATAATTTGTTGGGTACCAAAATACTTTTTAAAAGAGTGCTACTTCAAAAAGTATATAATCTATTTTTAAAATGTTACAAATTCAGAAAATAGTTTCTTCATGTCTGGAATAGTATTAATAGGAACATCCTTCATTTGTCATCCATGAATTTAATCACTGAACTCAAATAATAATAAATTAAAAAATTGTTGTTTTCTCTTTAGTAGCATTAGTCTTAGCTAGACTCTTTCACTGCACTTTGTAGCTAACAGTCTGCTTCACACTTCGCACGCGGCCATTATTCAGAGGGACGTGGCTGCCTTTGTTCTGAGACAAACACTTAAAATAGTCAAACTATGAAACTTCAGAGCCTGAAGGAAAATATATATTCATATTTCTTCCTAAATGTAACCTTCATGAGCACAGTTTAAGATTTAGCCAAATTCTGTAACCTCCATTGCAACTCTGCACTGCCCCCTGGGTCCCAAGTTTGTTCAGAACCGATGATATATGGCAAGACAGGGTAGGGACTTCCATCTGCGATTAAACTTTTAGTAAGTCATATTCTCAGCAGATACACCCGGGACAGGTTAGAAGGCATCTGTGCCTTGACTACAACCGTTCCCTTATGGGGAAGCCACTCTTGGTGTCTAGCGTTTATTTTATGCATGATATTCAGAGACTGGAGCTCTGCTGACCTGAGCTGGAAGGGCTTTTCACGTGGAGTGAGACGCCACAGGGCGCAGTCAGAGACAGCAGACCCGGGCGGAGGCCGCGGCTTGCTCCGCACACTGCAGTGACGGTGCCGGGAGGCCTGGCCCCAGCATGTCTGTCTGTCTGTCTGCCTTTTGTTAATGTATTGCCTGTACAGAGGAGAGAAATGAACACTGCAGGGTGTATGATGAAAGCGGCCGTCCCTGGCTGCGCTCTCACCTAATGGTGCTCTACCCTCCAAAGGCTGCCGTTCTCAGCTCCTGGTCCAGCCTTCTGCGAATCATGCTCGTCTCCGTCGGGTACCCTGATGCTGGAACCAAATAAAACATCTTTGCCTTTAGAGGTAGTTTGTTTGTTTGTGCTCTTCAAGTAGCCAGCAGCATGTGTCCTTTTTAAAGGCTAGGGTTATTTAGACATAAGGATTTTCATTCACACGTGTCCCATCTATGCCCCCATACCCTGTCAGCTCAGCCTGAAGCTTGCAATTGTGAAATGAGGGTTTATGTGGAACCGGTGAGCCAAGCTGCAGCGTGTCGTAATTTTGAAGCAGAATGTAATATTCGATTTTGAAATCTGACGGGCTACCTACTGTTGGGTCCCAGTCACTCAAATCAGTAGACAGTCACATCTGTACCAAAAGCTGTGACAGTTTGAATAACTTGTACTTAGATTAGCTATGTTTTCTGATTGCTTTTTCTCATCTTTTTGCAAATGTGTCTTTTGAGAAATTAGGGCGCCCGGGTGATAGTGGGCTCTTTCTGTCCCTAGTACATCGTCATATGCCCCTGGAGAAGGCACTGGTGCTGGTGACTGAGGGATTCAGTGGGTTCTCGCTGAGCGGGAGTGGCAGGAATGCGCCGGGGTCTGTCAGAGGGCTGGCGGAGGACGTCCTGGCTGGGGGGCGCCTCGCCGGCTACTCAGTGCCTTCGGGCAATCAGCACCTTCTCTTCCTGTTACAGAGGGAAAACATCTGGACAGGGACGAGCTGAGCCTGCTCATTGACTACCTGAACACCAGGAAGGGACAGCTGGAAGGTATTTGGCGCTGTCCCTTTTCCTTCCCCATCTCAAAAGCCAGAAAATCTTGCTCCTGCAAATCCATGTATGAAAGAAAACTAGAAAATTTTCATTTAGTGAGAGAATATGCTTCTGGAATATGTATATAATACAAAGATAGCTGATTTGAACATGCTTCTCGTAGGAATACACTATTTTAATGTTTAACCTTTATAGACTAAAATGCTTCTTCTGCAGCTAAATTTTCTTTTGAACCAGATTTTTAATTTTTATTTTATTTTATTAAAAAAATTTTCTAAACCCTGGAACATAGATTCAAGTTGCCCTGAATCTATGCTCCTAAACCAGATTTTAAATATATAAATAGAATGACCTCTGTGTATAGATGGGCACACGGGAGATATTTCCAGCTCCCTGATGGTTCATCTTCCTGATTCGAGGTTTCAGTCTTTGTTAATTGAGACATTTGTAAGATGACCTTCAAGTACATGGTAAATGTGAGGATGTAGTTCCTGATCTTAATGATTATAAAGAGCATTCCAGTGACAAGTCAAACTCCTTAAAGTAGTGACTTTTTAGTTTGCTTGTTTTGAGTTAAGTAGGTAAGAAAAAATTAATAATTACTTGTCCCTTATAGGAAAAAATAGCTGCCTATGTTACAGGAGCATGTTAAAGCTTTAAAGAAATTGTTCATCTTATAAAATATAGAATTTTTTTTATTATTTTATTACACTCACTTTCTCAGGATGCCAGAACCCATACATTTGAAACACAACAGTCTTGTTTCTTTTTGATTATAGAGACCTGTAAGTCTGCGGAAGTGAACGTCTTTCCCGGCTAGCCTGAGTTCTTTACGCAGCTTGCTGGCCTTGTCTGCGGCTTCTGCTGACTGTTTGTTTTCTCCATTTTCCAGGCTTGGATGCTGGACCCTTTAGCCAGCAGTGAGCATTCCTCACTTCAAGGCAGGATCAACCCTGTCGTGCGCAAGCTGCCTCCTCTGCTTCCACCCACTGGCAAGAGGCTCTTCTTAGGTGCTTCTGTCCCTGTTCCTGGCAAGTCCCCTCTGGCAACAGGCCAGGAGGAGGTCTCCTTCCGCTGCCAGGTCAGTGCTTCCCTCTAGGAACAAGGTGGATGCGTGGCCCTTCTGCTCCTTTGAGAGCTCCCCTGAGAAAGCAGGACAGGTTAGAGCAATGGCAGCATGTGTTGTCATGTTGTCCATGAGTGCTGAGATTTCAGAACACCAGGAGAGACACTTTAGGTTTCAGTAGGTGCCATTCCTCTTGAATGAGCTGCCTGCTTTATTGCAGGGAGGGTTTGAGAGGAAGTCTTCCACCAAGGTTTGTGGCCACAGTTAGAGCCACTTGAACTGAGTTCCCATAATAAGCACTCTGAATTCAGTAGTGTTTTTGAGGTTTTTTTTCTGAGTAGCAACATTTGCCTGAAATGAGGTTGGATAATTACTGTGGATTTATTCTATTGTAAGTTCAGGAACCCAACTCAAGTTACTTTAAAACAAGAGAGAGACTTGTTTGGCTGGTGTAACTGGGAATTCCGAGCATTAACTAACCGAGTCTCATGGATCCTTTGCCCCAGTGGGTTCATCAGACCTCCATCTCTCACTCCTGGGTGGAGGCCTGGGGGAGTGTAACCACTCGGGCGCAGGCACCCAGCCAAGTCCGGTTTTCAGCCCCGTGCCTTCCTTACGCCTCTGCGGGACCTGCTGCACCCGGAGTCTGAGCACGTCCTGGCTTTGGGGTAAAGAGTTTTAGCCCCTTTGGAGGCACCTGGGATGCAGCTTCCCTTCAGTCGGTCTTCCCTCTGGTCTGCATCTCCCTAGTCTTTGCTGGCGTCTCTGCTATACTCTCATCCCTCTGCTGTTCTTCTGTGTCCTGGCAGTGGGCGTGGGGAAGGAACCGGTGAGCATGTTTTCAATCTTCCATGTTTAAAAGGCTGTTGCCAGTGAAGTCTTTGTGGAAAGGTGGCTTTCACCTGGACCCTAAATAAAATGTAGACCTGGGGATGTCTTTGTGCATAAGAGTCAAATATCACTTTGACCTTTTATGTGAGCAGGGATTATTTTAGCCAAAAATCTTTCTTATGAGCACAACATTTCTACCTTGACTGTTACTGTGGACCAAAAGAGAGGGAACATGCCCTGCTGCTTTGATAGCTATACGTGTACATGTCTTTTTTGGTCTTTGATCATCAATGTTAGTCTGTAGTAAAGATCCACAGCCTTAGGTGAACATTTTTGTGCCCTACTCTCATCTTGACCTATTGACTTTGGGGATGAGAGTTGAGTTCTGCATCTTCTCCATTCCCACCCCAGACTGTGCGTCCTTGCTGCCTTGCCTTGGTTCCTTCCTCTCTTCATGTTGTGCTCACCCTCGCTCCCTGGGCCTCAGGGTCCAGCCCCCCACCTCCAACAGGCTCCAGAGACTCCCTCAGACTGGGTCTGTCTGCTACTATAGGCCCCGTCTGGGTTTGCTCACAGATCCAGGTGACCACCAGGTCTTTTTCCTGTGACAAGTTAGTGGAGAAAGTTCAGGAAGAAATCTTTTTTGCTCTGATTTGCTTCCCATCCTTGCCATTAGTTTAAGAGCAAAACTCTTTCAGACTTTCACCGAAGGTTAGGTGCTTGCGTCAGGGCCTTGGCAAGAACTGTGAGGAGATGTTCCGTGCAGGACAGCCTGCCTGTCCAAGGGGGACATGCAGGGTGCTGGACAGTGGCTGGGCTGCTGGGCTGGATGGATGGTATGTTATGAGTCACCCTTTATGACCCGTTTGGGAACCCTACTACTGCTTTGGATGGTGAGAATATGTTTCCCAAGTGTCAAAATAGCTTCAAAACAGGACATTTAGCACAAAACCCACCTGTAAGAAGCAGGGGAAACCAGGACATCAGGACAGGCTCAGATAGACAAGAGGTTTGCAACATTTTAAAACATTTTGAACAGCCAGAGAGTAAATATTTTAGGCTTTTTGTGGCCAAGAAGCAAAATCAAGGATATTATATACGTATTTATATACCTGTTTAAAAGGTAACCATTTAAAAATGAGAAAACAATTCTTAGCTGGGAGGCCATAACCAGACAGGACTGATTTGGTTTCCATTTTGGCTCTCATTTTCTCCCTGGACCACTGAGGACTAGCTGGGTTCAAAGAAGACTTGGTAAGTTTTCTGGAGCTAAGGTTGAGTCTGCTAGGAGAGGTTACTCCCCCCACTCAGCCCCTCTCTACAGATGAAGACAGATCCCTTTGGGGAGAACAGCTAGAACTGGGTTCATCATGTGTCTTTATGTGTATGTTTAGATTTTGGTTCTCTACAGGACCGGTCAACCCCAAAGGTCTGTTTCCTCCTACCCCTTCTTCTAGCAGACCCCTCCAAGAGGCTGACTTCTTTGGAATGGCCCCTCCCATACCTGCCAAGCATCTACTTCTGGGAGAGAAGCCAGGCCTTTTAGCACCACCATCAGGTGAGTGACCAGGAGAGCTTTGAGTGGCATTCTAGGCTAGTGATGTCCAATAGAACTTTCTATAGTTGTGCTGTCCAATGCAGTAGCCATTAGTTACATGTGGCTATTGAACACTTAAAATGTGGTGAATATGACTGAGGAACTAAATTTTTAATTTTATTTAATTTAAATGACCATAGTCATGTGGATAGTGGCTACCATAATAGACAGCACAGTTCTAGGCTGTTGGCGATATTAAGAAGCTGTGGCAATAGGTAGAGAGGTGTATTATATTTTTACCAAGTAGGAATCTATTATTTGTTAGTATTTTCACCCTTCCCTCCTCTTTTTAAAAGTCACATACGTACTTAAAAAAGGAAATATTGGCTGGGTACAGTGGCATGCACCTGTAATCCTAGCACTTTGGAAGGCCAAGGCAAGAAGGTCTCTTGAGCCCAGGAGTTTGAGGTTATAGTGAGCTATGATCGTGCCACTGTACTCCAGCCTGGATGACACAGTGAGACAGTCTCTTAAAAAAAAAGGAAATATTATATCTCTTTCATAAATGGATATCTTTGTCATTTGCTCTAAAATAAAAGTTAACCATAAAAAAAAAAAAAACCACAAAACAGTGTTACTAAATTTCTGCCAGATACTATTGCCTGCCTCAGTCTCTTAAGCCTAAACCTTAAGGTTTGCTATCTCCTGGTTAAAAATGAGGATTCCTGCCGGGCGTGGTGGCTCACGCTTGTAATCCTAGCACTTTGGGAGGCCGAGGCGGGCGGATTGCTCAAGGTCAGGAGTTCGAAACCAGCCTGAGCGAGACCCCGTCTCTACCAAAAATAGAAATAAATTAATTGACCAACCAAAAAAATATATACAAAAAATTAGCCGGACATGGTGGTGCATGCCTGTAGTCCCAGCTACTCGGGAGGCTGAGGCAGTAGGATCGCTGAGCCCCGGAGATTGAGGTTGCTGTGAGCCAGGCTGACGCCACGGCACTCACTCTAGCCTGGGCAACACAGTGAGACTCTGTCTCAAAAAAAAAAAAAAATGAGGATTCCTAAGGATCAAGGAGGTGTTAATGTCATGCCAACACTACTAGAAATTCTTCCCTGGACTTATTCAGGATTGCAAAATGCGGGCAAAGGGAATGTCTTCTGATGAGATTGAATGTCATTTAATCGTGTGCCTATGAATCTCCAAATGCTCTGGAGGTGTGCATGCTCCATTTCTGCTCGGCTCAGGGAGGCACACAGCTGCTTCCCTGCCTGGGAGGAGGACGGGTCTGGTCTGCCATAGTTAAGGTACTGACTGATCCCCAGCCCTGGGTCAGAGCTTGCACAAGAATAGAGGCTCTCTGTCTTCTTTACCGTTGCAGACCTGGCCAGCTCTTACCTTCTCAGATGCTAACTTCCCTGCTGTATGGCTGGGCCAGATGAGGCCAGAGGCCTCCTGGCTGCCCCCACACCCCAAGGCACAAGAACAGACCACCCTTGGCTGTTCTCCCAGGGCGCTGGGTGACCACTGGGACTACATTCTGGCTTGGGGTGGAACGTGGCCGGGTGGGCAGTGGGCTGGCTTCTAGTCAGTGGTTTCTAGTCATTCGGGCCTACTAAGCCTAGGTAAGGTCACTGCCCAGGTTTTTCCTAGTTCCCTTGAGTTCTGTTTTGAGATTTGAGGCCAAAGCCCCAGCTGTTAGGAGAGTGGCCCTTTGTCCCCTCTCTGTTCTTCATGCAAGTGACGTTTTTCACGATACTTAATGCCATTTTAAAGTTTCAGTCCTCACTTTTTAGTCAGACGTGCTTCTGAGAGATGTGCGTTGCTGTGGCTGTGGATAAAGAAGGACATTTGCAAAGGGCAGCACGACGCGGAGCAAAGGCCAGCGACTCTCGGCCCCGGGACCCAGATAGTCTGTTTCTGAAGAGGCTCATCTGACAGACGGGAGTGAAATAACCACCTTTGGGGAAATTCGAAGAACTTTCCTTACCCGTAAGATGGGCCTCCCTGGTTTCTGAAGACCCTCTTAGCCCCCAAATTCTAGGACTAATACTTGGAAGAAACTTTTTTAAAAAAATTAAAGAGGAAACAAGAAGCATTCCTGTGCAAGGTGCACCAATAACAGCATGTGTTAAGTTCTCATTATGGGCCAGGCATTGAGACTGTTTCAGTTAGTCCTTGTAACAGCCCTGCGAGCTAGGTACTGCCAGGACCTCCACGGTCCCGGTGAATCACTAAGGCATGGAGAGTATGAACCTGCCCAAGGTCACACAGTAGTGCCTAGTGGAGCCGAGACTGGACACTGGCCGTGTGACCCCACAGCCTGTGCTCTTAACCGCCACACAGTCTCAGTGGCACATAAATGTTACCAAGTTGATGTTGCTTTCAAAAAACACTTAGATTTTTGCTTGGATTTCAACCATGTCCTCTCATCCACAGCTTGCCTTTGACCAAAGGTCAAAAACATTTTCACATCACTCAGCTGTTCTGATTTGTTGCAGTGTTAAGGGCTGTGGAAGTCCAGCAGGAAGGAGGGAGTGCAGTTAGTGCGGGTCTGGGCGAAGTTGCAGAAGCCTAATGGAAGAGCCTTGGAGGAAGCCAAGTATTTGGGTACCTGGAGGGAAGAGGCACCGTGATTTCCTGCTTTTATAGAAGAACTATCTCAAGTAACAAGTGTTTAAGACTCATTGAAGTGTGGGTGAGGTAGATGTCCCATGTTCCTCCTCTGTAAAATAAGGGCTGCCACCAGGATTAAATGAGATAATACAAATGAAAATCTTTTACACTCCCCAAGAATTGCGGAGAAATCTGTCTGCTGGTGCAGCAACGCGGCTAACCCAACCCTGCATGCCAGGGCTGGTTGGTGTGGCCAGGGGACGTAGGTCAAGCCCGGCGCTTGGATATGAATTAACACTGCCATGTTCCTCCTCTCAGCAGTTCTTTTGTGGTCGGTGCCACATAAGTGGGCAGCTCAACCCGAGTCTCTGCTGAACTAAACTCTGCTGAGCCTAGAGAACAAGGTGCCTGCTGCTCAGATGGTGACTTCCCCTCCTCCAAGGACCATGGCTCCTCCCTGGCCTGCAGCACTGATGTCCAGGCCATGGGTACAGATGTGGCTCCCTTCTGTCTGATACACAATCCCATGGAAACCTTTACACCTTTGGAGTCTGTGCCAAACCAGACATTTGTGGAAAGTCATTATTGTGGACATTGGACCTTGAAGTTGTTCAGTTATAGGCATATTTTTTTTTTTTTTTTTTTGAGACAGAGTCATACTTTGTTGCCCAGGCTAGAGTGCATGCCATGGCATCAGTCTAGCTTACAGCAACCTTAATCTCCTGGGCTCAAGCCATCCTACTACCTCAGCCTCCCAAGTAGCTGGGACTACAGGCATGCGCCACCATGCCTGGCTAATTTTTTTTTTTTTTGTATATATATTTTTAGCTGGTCAATTAATTTCTTTCTATTTTTAGTAGAGACAGGGTCTCACTCAGGCTGGTTTCAAACTCCTGACCTTCAGCAATCCGCCCGCCTCGGCCTCCCAGAGTGCTAGGATTACAGGTGTGAGCCACCATGCCCGGCCTAGGCATATTAAAATACAATAAAAACTTCTAGTTTTTACTTACTGGTTACCCGCTTTTATAAAACTTTATTTTGAAATAATTTTAGATTTATGGAAAATTTGCAGAGATAGTACAGGACGTTCCCTTTGTCCAGCTTCTCCTGAATGTTAACATCTTACATACCTGTGGTACATTTGTCAAAACTAGGGAATTAATGCTAGTGCAGTAACATTAACTATACCACAGGCTTTATTGGGATTTCACCAGTTTTCCCACTAATGTCATTTTTCTTTTCTGGGATCCTATCTGGGTACCACATTGCATTTAGCCTGTTTTTACTTTAGTATGTTCTAGGTTTTGTGTATTATTTTTTTTTTTTTTTTTTTTTTTGGAGACAGAGTCTTGCTCTGTCACCCATCATCATCATAGCTCACTGCAACCTCCAACTCCTGAGGCTCAAGTGATCCTCCTGCTTCAGTCTCCCGGTGCACCACCATGCTCAGCTAATTTTTTCTATTTTTTGGTAGAGACAGAGTCATGTTCTTGTTCAGGCTGGTCTCAAACTCCTGAGTTCAAGCAATCCTCCTGTCTCAGCCTCCCAGAGTGCTAGGATTACAGGTGGGAGCCATTACACTGGCCATGTTCTAGTCTTTTATTATGAAACATTTTAAATATAAAGAAATTTGAAGTAGTACAGTGAACACACATATATCCTGTATTGAGATTCAACAATTAACATTTTGCTTTTTTTTAAAACTTACACATGTGTCGGTGTAAATATAATGTTTTACTCATCTTACCCTGAAGGTAAGTTGTAGAGTTCATGATATCTTACTTCTAAATACCTTAGCATTCATCTCTTAAGAATAGGAACACTTTACATAATTATATCATTATCATACCTTAAAATTTAATAATAATTCTATAATGTCTAATATCTAGGTTCAATATTTGAATTTCCCCAATCATCCCAAGAATGCTTTTATTGCCTGCTTTTTTTTGAAAGCAGCAGGATCTCATTATGTTGCCTGGGCTGGCTTCAAACTCCTGGGCTCAAGTGAGCCTCCTGCCTCAGCCCCTCCGTAGCCGGGACTGCAGGCCTGCGCCACTGCACCTGGTGCTTTTTCTCTCTGAACCAGAATTTATTATAATTAAGGTTTGTGCATTGCATTTGGTTTTTATGTATCTTTAATTTCTTTTAACTTAAAACTGTCTTCTTAACCTCTTTTTTTTCCCTCATGATGCTTTGAGTCCAAGCCTTGTAGAATACCCTATGTCTGGATTTATCTGATTTTTTTCTCGGTATCGCTTGACTGTTCCTCTGTTCACTGTGTCTTCTGTATCCTGGAAGTTTGGCCCAGAGGCTCGATTAGATTCAGGCCGTCCGTTTTTGGCAAGGCTATTTCCTGGGAGGTGCTGCCCGTTCTCGCATCATATCGGAAGGCACCTAGCTGTGATCCTCTGGGAGAACGCTTATGGTCAGGCACTTGGGTGAGGTGGTGACTGCCAGCTACAGGTAGGGTTTTCCCCTGGCATCAAGCAATTGTCCTGTTCCCATCAGCTTTTACCTGATTGTGTCCATTGACGGTTTTTGCCTGACTCAATTGTTATATTGGACCTTCCCTCCCTTTTACTTGAGGTCGAACATCTTAAATGTTCAGTGAGTTTCAAAAATTATATCCACGTAACCTGCACCCCAAACAAGGTATAGATGTTTCCCTCACTCCATAGTGCCCTGTGGTGTCCCTCTCCAGGCACTGACCACCTTCCCTGCCTTCCCTGACTTCTGTCACCTTGGTGTTGTCTGTTCTTATAATTTATTTAGGGGAGTCAAGCAGTATATATTTTGTTGAGACTGGCTTCATCTGCTTAAGTGAATGCTTCTGAAGTTCGCCCATATTGTCGCATGAACCCGTAGACTGCCCCTTTTTGTCGTGGAGCAGGAAGTCACCGTGTGGATGTGCTACGGTCTGCGTGCCCGCCCTCCTGACGGTGGGCTTTTGGGTTGTGTGGCTGTTTCTGCTTCTTGGCTATTGTGAAGTTACTGTGGACACTTTTGTGCATGTCCTTTTGTGGATGTTTGTTTTCCTTTTCCTTTTTTAAAAAGACAAATCATCCTTTGAGTATATGTTCATTTCTTGGGTAAATTCCTAGGAGTGGAGTTGCTGGGTCACAAGGTAGATGTATAGTCACTTAAATAAGAATTGCCAAAGCGCCTCTGCAGTTTCACACAGCCCCTGGCTGAGTCTAGAGCTCCGGTTCTCCTGTGCCCTCTCCCACTTTGGTGTTGTCTTGGACTTTAGCCTTTTGAGTGGGTGTGATAGGTTTGTCATGTTTTAATTTGTATTTCTTTGATGATTAATTAAGTTGAGTACCCTTTTCATTTTCATTTTCCTTGTTTATCTGTTAGGGAAGACCTACAGACTTCTTTGTCAGTATATTAGTTTCTTAGGACTGCTGTAACAAAGTGCTGCAAAGCAAGTGGCTTAACAACAGAAATTTAGTGGCTCACTGTTCTGGAGGCTGAGAAATCCAGGATCAAGTGTCAGCAGGACTTGCTCCCTCCCAAACCTAGAGAGGAGAACCCTTCCGTGCCTTCCAGCTTCTGGTGTTTGTACACATACTATAGCCTGGTGTTTGGTCCTTGGCGTTCCTTGGCTTGTAGATTCACCACTCCTGTCTCTGCCTCCATCATCATAGGCCAAGTCTTCCTTGTGTCTTCCCGTCACTTTCTTCTGTGCGTGTGTCTTCGTCCAAATTTTCCTCTGCTTTTAAGGCCATCAGTCATTGGGTTAGGGGCCCCTACTCCAGTATGACGTCATCTTAACTAGTTACATCTGCAGTGACCCCACTTCCAAATATTTGGAAGGCATATTCTGAGGTACTGGGGGCTAGGACTTCAACATATTTTTTTGTGGAGGGACTACAATTCAACCCATAACACTCAGCAATAAGGAAATGAATTAATTTATCATTTCATTTGGGGATTATGGAGGGCTAATAATAATGTTTTATAGACTGTTTTATATGAGGATGTAAATCTTGGGGTGGATGTCTTTCTACAACTTTCAAAAGAAGCTTTCTGCCCTTTGGCTCAAAGTGTCTCCTTAGGTTACATGAACTCTAGGCCTTTTCCTTTACACTGTGACATCTTTCATCTGGCCTGGGGACTTTTCAGCTTGCTGTGTTGACACTTCATTTAGTGTTCTGTTATCCCACAACATGGGTGACACATGGCATGGTAGAATTCCCCGTCAGTGCCCACAGGTGGACAGAGGGACGGGAGGTTGAGAAGCTCACTCTAGCAGAGCCCTTGCGTCTTGTCCTGTGGTCTGGCCCCAGGTGCCAGTGTTAGCGGGGTGTTAGTCCCCCAGCCCTTCTGCTGTTTTACAGAGACTTCCTTAGGGGCTCTTGAGCCCTCCCTTGCACATAAATGTACATAAACTTTCTGGGGACATCCAGAGTTTTTGGATTAATCACTAGCATCTACAGCAGAGACTTTTTATTTTCTTATAGTCATCTAACTAATTTAGTAGAACAAGATTAGTAACTTATGTTTAAGATTGTGAAGACAGTTTGTATATTTTTTAAAAGCATAGATTTTCCTGATGTTGGCTTATATCTTTTTTAAAAATTCATATTTTAAAAAACAGGTTATACATGCATGCACATGGTACAAAATTCAAAAGAAACAAAAGGTGAACAGTAAAAAGTAGTTCTTCCACTTATATTTCTTAGCTTAACATTTGTGTCTCTGTCTCTAGATATTTATCCATGTGCAAGTGCATATAACTCATACACAGATGATCACATACCATAAACACTATTTTACCTCTTTATATAGTTTTCTGCTATATCTTGGAAATGATTATACATCAGATATATCATTGCCTCTTTTTAATGATTGCAAATTATTCCAGAGTATTAAATGTGCCATAATTGACTTTATTAGGTCTTTATTGATGGACATTTTTGGTCATTTCTAATATTTTGCTGTTAAGCAAAAGGGAGTTTATTTTGATGTAAGCTGGTTTTGTTTTTCAGTTACAGAGCAACAAGGTTTAGAGCCAGTTTCAGTCATTCCTAATTGTTACTCAATTAGAAATAATATCAGGGCCAGGTGAGGTGGCTGAAGCCTGTAATCCTAGCACTCTGGGAGGCCAAGGAGGGAGGATCGCTTGAGCTCGGGAGTTTGAAACCAGCCTGAGCAAGAGTGAGACCTTGTCTCTACTAAAAATAGAAAAATTAGCCAAGTGTTGTGGCCGGTGCCTATAGTCCCAGCTACTCAGGAGGCTGAAGCAACAGGATCACTTGAGCCCAGGAGTTTGAGGTTGCAGTGAGCTAGGACACCACTGCACTTTAGCTAGGGCAACAGAGTGAGAATCTGTCTTAAAAAGAAAAGAAATAACATCAGCATGGGCAACATAGTAAGACCCCGTCTCTACAAAAATTTAAAAAATTAGCTGGTAATGGTGATGCATACCTATAGTGCTAGCTACTTAGGGGGCTGAGGCAGGAGGATCACTTGAGCCCAAGAGTTAGAGGCTGCAGTGAACTTTGATCATGCCACTGCACTCAAGCCTGGACAACAGAGCGAGAGCCTTAAAAAAAAAAAAAAAAAGAAGAAGAAAGGAAGAACAAAATTGTGTTTCTGCTATTAGATTGAACTATAAAGACAACTAACTCATGGTA